TGTGTTCTAACTCTTCTTACACTAAAAAACAGAAAAACAGACCATAGTTCAGATTTCATTCAAATTTACTTGTGGAAAGAAGCCATGGAAGTCATCCTTAGATTCTAGTCTTTGTCTGAACTTAAGCATTGAAGGTTTGAAAAAGCACTACTATTGATTCTGAAATACTTATTATTCTTGTAAATATACCCTTACGTTTGTCATGTGTAAGAAATGCTTTCACTGAGTTTAGTGTGACAACTGACATCATCGGATTCACCACTACCTGTGCCTTTGTGGAGACAGGACAAGTCAATATTAGCATTTATTTAGGTTTCCACTACCCCAGCAGGTAGTGGGAGCAGGAAGCAACCTAGAAAGGAAGAAGATGAGCAATACTTGGTGCAACTTTAAAGCAGATGTCTGATCAGTTGGTTTGCCTGAAGTATAAAATTATATAAGGTTCGGTATTTTCCCTATTATTTTCAGTTAACATGAAGTATGTGGGAACAATTGTCTAATTGAATGAAGTTCAGTTACAAAAAGGTTCTCCACTTCAAGGCAAAAATCTGAGGTAGTAAATCTGGTTCAAGCTCAAATCAAAACCCGAGAGGGCTCTACCACTGAGAAATGAATTGTCTCTACATTCAAAATTGCTCAACAGCATTGGCGGGGCTCCAGAGATAAGCAGGCAGTGCTTGGACTCTGTATTCCCTATCCACAGTTCTGATTGGTAACAGAAGTGTTTAATTTAAGTAAAAATCTATCTCCCTTTAAGGATCTAAAATGTAGAAGAAAAGCAAAAAATAAATTTTAGGATAATGTTTATTTATCCAAATAGGTCACAACATAGTCCCCATATGGCTTTCTGTTTCACAATCAACCTTTACAAACAATGATGAATCTTTAATGAAAGTTAAATTTATAAACACTGTAAGACAGTTCAGGAAATATGTAGTTAAAAAAAATGAAGTCCACAAATTACAAATATTTTGCTAATATACAAACTGTCAATTTGGCAAATGCAAGCTACTTAACTGGTTTATTTAATGTGGGAATTTTTCTAAAAAAATTCAGTTGGGGTAAGTGATATATTTATGCCCTTTGACAAAGATGACAGGTATAGTATTGTTGTGACTAAAAAAGAAGTATATAATATTACTGCTTTGGCTCATTAAATTTCACAGAATATATAAGATTCTGCCATGTCCAATGAGTTAGGCAAATGTAATAGAAGGTGCAGTGGGCTGAAACACATTTTCATCATACAAATCTTCTGGTAGTTCTTCTTCATCTCCATCAGGAAAATAAGTAGGGAATGGTAAATTTTTACTGAAATCCTTATATGCAGGCAGATGAGAATCTCTGATCTGGGGGGAGAAGGCAAAAATTTATTAATAAGTGCTACCAATTAAGCTACTTAAAGGTAGGGTAATGGTGCTGGGGATTAGTTGCCTAGCATGTGCAAGACCTACATTCAGGTAGGGAGAAGGTAGTCTATTTTACCTATTATTGGGGGAGGATGGAGGAGGTAGTATATTTACCTATTATTTATAACCAAAGATTATGTTTTCCTACATTATTTTTGGATACAAATGACAACTATTACATATGCACAGTGAAAAGAACGCAATCAATGCATTCTTTTTAATTCCAATAAATCTAGTTAATCCAATGACAGAGAACAATCTCACTCTAGTTAATCAGCTACCTCATAAGAATAAAATCACCTACTATCAATTTATATTTTATCATAACATAAATTAACTGTCCAATAATTAAATCATATTTTAAGATTACTACTCAAATATAAACTACATCCGGATTCACTTTTCAAATATAAAGAGCTGATATAAACTATAAACCTGATACCTAATAATTACCCATTTTATTATTTACTTACATTGTCTATTTTTATAAATTTATTTACTACATTTTATAGAATATTTTTTTGAGCTGAGATTTTAAAACATAAAATTTACTAGCATTTTTGTTAATCTAAGAATACATAACTAAAAATATCACCTTTTATTTAGAAAATTAGCTTATATTTAGTAAATGGCATTCTTAACGAGAAGTTAAAGAGAATAATATTTAGCAAAAACAATAAGGAACTGATATCTTTTTTTTTTAAAGAGAGAGTGAGAGAGGAGAGAGAGAGAGAGAAGAGAGAGAGAGATAGAGAGAGAGAATTTTTAATATTTATTTTTTAGTTCTCGGCGGACACAACATCTTTGTTGGTATGTGAACCCGGGCCGCATGCATGCCAGGCGAGCGCGCTACCGCTTGAGCCACATCCCCAGCCCTGGAACTGATATCTCTATGATAGATTTTAACTCTGTATGTTCTAAAAAACTCTAATTATGTCTATGATTTCATAATTTAGTACTGATATTGACATGATCTAGAATGTTTGGTTTTAGTTTTAGAAAAATTATTGGGTTCTTCAAAGCTTCTGACTCATTCCATAGTCTTTATTGAGAAAGAAATTTAAAAAACATGTAATTATATACACAGAATAAAATAAGGCATATTCATTTTGGCAATTAAGAAATGAATAATTTAGTTGAAGTAACTACACAGCTGCTCTGAATAAATATAAAAAAATTTGGTTTATTTTAATCTCTCTCATTAAAATTATTTCAAGAAATGATCAGTAAAGTTGGCAATAGTGGTAGTTTGAGTTCTTCTTTACCTATTTGTATCCCTTTAATTTCTTTCTTTTGTCTAATTGCTCTGGCTAGAGTTTCCAGGATGATGTTGAATAGAAGCGGTGAAAGAGGACATCCTTGTCTTATTCCAGTCTTTAGAGAAAATGCTTTCAATTTTTCTCCATTTAGAATGATGCTGGCCTTGGGGTTAGCATATATAGCTTTTAAAATGTTGAGGTATGTTCCTACTATTCCTAGTTTTGAACCAACCCTGCATCCCTGGTATGAACCCCACTTAATTGTGGTGCACTATCTTTTTAATATGTTTAATACCTAATATTTTCTTTATAGTCCTAAAGATCCTTTTACGTACTGGCTCTACTCTTTCACAGGTTCTTGTTTTTATAGGCGTAGGACTTAAGATTACTCTGTAATGCTCCCCGCCGCCCCCAGGTGCTTTTAAGAAGCAAAATAAAACATTTGGAAAAACACCCATCTACTTGGGTCAAAGGAGAATTTATGGCACATCTATGAACAAGACAAAATAAAGACAGTTATACATACCTTTACTAAACAATTTGTATGTCCAGGTACAGAGCCATTTACATAGATTATATTGTGCTTTGTGTTTATTCTCCACACCTAAAACATAAAATGAAACCAACCTTTAAGAGTTAAAATTTGAGAATATGCTTATATTAAAATAAGGAGTATGTTATAAAAGGTGAGAAGGTAACCTATGAAATTATTAGCACTTCAAATGTTGAAAAAGAAATGAAAAACTTCAAATTCTATTTGATGATTTATAATATAACACCATAACAGATATGTCTTACAGAAGAAATAGAAAATTCTCATTTAAAATAGAAATGTGGCTGGATGTGGTGATGCATGCCTATAATCCCATGAACTCAGAAGGTTGAAGCAGGAGGATCACAAGTTCAAAGCCAGCCTCAGCAATTTAGAAAGGTCCCAAGCAACTTAGTGAGACCCTGTTTCAAAATAAAAAACAAAAAGCTGGGTATGTAGTGTAGTGGTAATGCACCCTTGGTTAAATCTTCAGTACCAAACCAAACCAAACACAAGAAATCCGAATGATGAAGACTACTCAAATATCTCAATGCACTCTGTTGGAACCATTAAGAACAGTCAAATGAAAATTCAATGTTTCTTCTTAGTTAATACTGGCTTGTTGCAACCAGAAACTAGGAGTTCACAATTCACTAGATCTAATTTCTAATATAAGTGGGATGATCAGCAGCCTTCAAAAAGATACTCATAATGACTATGGCATTCACTGGTAAATGGATGGGTCTGAAGACTTTTGTGGTAAGCCAGTCCCCAAAAGTCAAAAGTTGAATGTTTTCTCTGATATCTAAAAGCTAATCCAAAATAAGGGGGGATTAAAAAAAAAAATAAAAGTAAGATCAGTGGAGTAGACAGAGGGGAATAAAAAGGAAAGGAGGAATAGGATAGGAAAAGACAGTGGAATGATTCTGACCTAACTTTCCTATGTACACGTATGAATATACCACAGTGAATTTCACCATCTTGTACATCCACAAAACACTAATGAAACAAAACAAAACAAAACAAAAACTCAACTGTAATTCAATAGTAGAGAGATCGGAGAGGGAAGGGAACAGGAGGCGAGAAGAAGGCAGGCAAAGGGAAAATACTGGGGACTGAATTAGAACAAATTATACTCCATGCTTTTATAATTAAGTCATAGTATATTCTTTTGTCACATATAACTAAAAAGAACCCAAAACAAAACAAAAAACCAAAACAATCTTCACACAGAGAAAACAAATTACACAAATGGAAAAGAATGGTCAAGAAATGATACTGAGAAAATAAAATATTTTGAGAAGAAATAAGAATTTTACCCATAGCTGATACTTAATAATAGCTCAGTATATTTTTTAAATACTATAGAAAATGAAATCTCACACACAAACACACACACACAGAGTGACAAATTGATGGGCTTTGGTAAGTTAAAAAAGGGTAAAAAAGTCGTAGATTTATCTGATAGTTAATTTTAGGTGTCAATGTGGACTACTATGAGAACTAGAAAAGCATCACTTTTGGGTGTATCTGTGAGGACATTTCCTGAGATTAGTGTGAAAGTGCATGGACTGAGTTTGGAAGATTCCTTGCCCAATGTAGGTGAGCACTGTCCAAATGGCTGCATGCCTACCCTACTCCCCTTCAAAACAAAAAAAGTCAAAGAAAAATATTTCTTCTCTCCTGCAGCCAGGACATTGCCTTATATATTAATTAGAATTCTAGGCTCTCTGGACCTTGGACTCTAGTACTTATATCAAGAGCACCACCATCCCTTCACATCTCCCTGCCCAATTCTCAGGTTTTCTGTCTCGAATGAGAATTCCATCACTGGGTTCCCTGGTTTGGAGGCTTTTGGACTAAGCCAGGATACAGGGATCCCAGGAGTTCCACCTTGCAGCTAACCTGCTGTAGGACTTTTCAGACTCAATGATCATGTGAGCCAATTCCCCTCAAATATCCTTTTATGAATGTATCACATCATTTATCTAACTATCAGTCTATCTAACCATTCATTCATCCATCTCTCTCAGGAGAACCCTAGTACAATTTAGTTATATAAAATTTGAAAACAAATCACATATAAGATGTATGTAGAACAGAGACTGGAAGAACATGTATTGGTTAGTAATTATCTTTGGGTGCTGTTTCTATGGGTGTTTATTTTCTCTGTACTTTCCATGTTTTGAAATATATATGCATACATATATAAACAGTAGTTGTTTTAATATAAAAAATGAAACGACACAGCACTCATTATAGTACAACTCATTTTCACTTAGCAATTACACACATTTTTCAAGTTAGTTGAGAACATAACTTCCCCTCTTTAAAATACACACATACACATAAGTACATATAAATGTATCTTTTTACAATCCTTTTGCAGTGTTATTTTTTCTTCATTCAATTTTGATTTGTCTCCTCTCTCCTTACTCAAAACCATCTGCCCACCCACACTTCTGACATATAACCTCAGACAATCTGGAATACAACCTCTCCACTTTTCTCTGTGACTATATAACAGCACAGTAATATGTACATATCGGAAGCTTCTGCTCATTTCTTTATAAAAATAGAGTATTAAACCTAATGTTCTGATTCTTACCTTTTTTTCATATAATATCTTGTGAAACCTTCCAGGTCAAATAGCAGATCACTGATTTTTTTCCTTCTTAATGACTGTATAGTCTATGGCTTGGATGTTAAAATAAATAAATACTACCAGTATTACTACCATGACTACCCACAATACAACTCAACTCATGCATCTTCTACCTCTTAATTATCATAAAGCCTATTAGAACAGCAGTACATAAATACACATTAAATACATACTTTGATGCCTTTGCATTTACCTAATTTATTTTTAAAAGAACCATTTTACAAACTTACTTTCAGTCCAAATGATGTCCTATCTATGTTTCCCATTTGTCCAGGCATTTTAGTTCCAGGCCAGACTCTGGCAACATCCTAAATGAGAGAACCAAAGTTTTCAAAACTCTTGACTTCAAACAGTATTGGTCAAATCGTAACATCAACTAAGACTAGGAATTTTAAGTTTGTTTTTCTTTTCCCTATTCTGCTAAGCCTAATAAAGAATTGATATTGAAATGAACTTACTACTAGAGGATTTCCATTCCAAATTTGATTAGACTAACAAAATAAATAGGGACTTAGAAACAGAATTAGGATACAAACTCAGTAATGAGAATAGTAACTGACCTAATAGTGGTTAAGAGGTAAAGGTAAAGGTGAAGGAAGGAAGGAAAGAAAGAAGGAAGGAAGAAAGAAAGAAAGAATACACACATATCAAATCACCACCTGAAGAAAGTCTGCCTAGCCTGTTTTCAGGTAATCTTCTGTATTAACTGACTTAATCCACGCTACTGCTGCTGGAACGGTGCTACTCTTCCTTGCTTTTGATGTCACTTTCCTTACCCAAATGCTTCAAGGTCAGAATTAGTTACTGGAATAGCTTGTCTTAGTTGTCTTTGATTCAAATAAATCAAACAACTTCACAAAGTCTCTGATAATGGCTAATAATTATACATCTAAGGAAACAAATCTGAATTACAGCTAAAATGGAAGGTTTCTCATGACATGAATTCTTAGACTAAACACTCTTCTATCAGCTACTCACAGGAACAGGTGAAACTCCCAGTAGAAGTGACTCATCATAGTTTCAGAGTTGGTTACTATGTAACCAATATAACTCCAAAGACAATTCTGAGTATAATAGACCAAGTATTCTACATATATATGGTTTGATAAGCACTGTATTTAACATTACTAAAAAAGGACTAATTCAGCCTCCTTAGTTAAATTTATACTCTCATTTAAAGTATAACCTCATTCTTAGGATTACAAAGTCATTTATTAGCTAATCCTTAAGGAAAGTATATAAACAGTACAAGTATTTCAAGATAAATATCTCATTCCAGTCATAAGAGTAGGTTCCTCTATATGCCTAATTTTTTAAAGAGCTTTGTTAAGATATAATTCACATACCACACATTTCACTCCTTTAAATTACAATTTGATGTTTTTAGAGAGTTGTATATTACCACAATCAATTTTAGAATATTTTCATCAAGCCAAAACAAAAACCCATACTCATTTGTGGCCATTCCCAGCAATCCCCACAGCTTTTTGCAATCACTGACCTAATTTTGTTTTCATAGATTTGCCAAGGTCGGATAGTTCATATAAGTGGAATCATAAATGATGTATTCTTTTTCAACTTGACATAATGTTTTCAAGGTTCATTCATGCTGCACTATGTATTAATGCTTCACTTCATTCCACTGATAAATAATATTCTATTGTAGAGATAAATATCTAAACTGTTTTGACTGGGGGTATTATTATGAATATTAATATTCTAAATATTCATATATGAATTTAGTGTATATGTTTTGAGTACAAACTTAGGAGTAGAATTTCTGGGTCATCACAAAGCCAGCATTCCAATGAATACTCAAAGATATGCTACAGACAGAGGAACACAAAAATGAACTCCAAAGCTCCCAAAGAGATGAAGATCACTAGAAGAACAACTATCAAAATGAATCAAATTAATTAATTAGCAAACAAACCAAAATGTCAAGAAACAATACACATGTATCCATAACAACTGTGAATGTAAATGGTCTCAATTTCCCCCATTAAACGACAGAGCCTGTGCAGTGGTGCATGCCTGGAATCCTAGCGGTTTGGGAGGCAGAGAAAGGAGGATTGTGGATTCAAAGCCAGCCTCAGTCACACTAAGCAACTAATCAACTCAGTGTAAATCTGCTTCTAAATAAAATACAAAATAGGGCTGGGGATGTGGCTCAGTGGTCGAATCTATCTATCTATCTATCTATCTATCTATCTATCTATCTATCTATCTATCTATCTATCTATCTATATAAAGACATAAATTAGCAAAATGTATTAAAAAGCAAGATCTAATTATGTGCTCTTTGCAAGAGGCTCAACTTATAGGCAAAAACACCCACAAGGTAAAAGTAAAAGGATACAAAAAATATTCCATGCAAATGGAGTATGAAAACAAGCAGGTATAACTATTCTTGTACCTGGCAAATTTTACAATAAAAAACAATTAATCAAAAGTGTTGATTATGTCTATAATCCCAGTGACTTGGAAAGCTATGGCAGGAGGATCTTATGTTTGAACTTAGCCTCAGCAACTTAGCAAGACCCTGTCTCAAAATTAAAAACTAAAAAGGATGTGGCTTAATGGTTAAATGCCCGTTTTTTTCCCCTCTAAATATTTTTAGTTGTAGATGAATACAATATCTTTATTTTTACTTATGTGGTGCTGAGACTCAAACCCAGTGTCTCACACATGCTAGGCAAGTGCTCTACCATGGAGCCACAACCCCCCACCTCCACCCCCCCAAAATTAATCAGAAGAGACAAAGGAATGATCCAACAAGAAGATATAATGATAGTAAATATATATGCCTGAAATATCAGTGTACCTAATATATAAAATAAAGTACTTCTTGATGTTAAATCCCGGATAGATCCCAATACAATGATTTCAGGGTGATTTCAACACATCCTTATCATCAATAGAGAGATCATCCAAACATAAAATCAATGGAACTAACAGACATCTATAGAACATTTTGCCCTAAAACAACAGAATTTACTTTCTTCTCAGTATCTCATGGAATAGATACACGTTTTCTTCTGCTAGAAAAATCAACACTCCAGGTACTGACTTCTTTAAAAGCCCTAGAGCTCAAGAAATGAAACCAAGGATAAATAAATGAATGCCATCAAATCAAAATCTTCTGCGCAGCAAAGGAAACAAGAACATGAAGAGAGTCTACAGAATGGAAGAAAATCTTTGCCAGCTATTTCTCTGACAGTGGATTAACATTTAACATATAAAGAACTAAAAAAAACTTAACACCCAAAACCTAAAAACCCAGTCAATAAGTGGGCAAAAGAACAGATCTTTTTTTTTAAAGAAACACAAATGGCCAAGAAATTATATATATATATATATAAAGTTTGATATCTCTAGCAGTCCAGTAAATGCAAATCAATACTACTCTAATATTTCATCTCATTCCAGTCAATGATAGAATATAAATAATAATAAATCCTGGTAAGAATGCTGGGGAAAAGGTAGATTCACACATTGCTAGTGGGATTGCAAATTAGTTCAACTACTCTGGAAAACAATGTAGAGATCTCTCAAAAAACAAGAAATGGAATACCATATGAATCAGCTATCCCACTCCTTGGTTTTTATCCAAAAGAACTAAAATCAGAATACTATAAGATACAGCAGAACTCTTCACCATAACCAAATTATGGAATCAGCCCAAATCCCCATCATAGGTGAATGGATTAAGAAAATGTGGTATATATGAGTCTTTACTCAGTCATAAAGAACAACAAAATTATGGTATTTGCCATAGATGGAACAAGAACATCATGCTAAATGAAATAAGTCAGACTCACAAAATCAAAGCTCAAATGTTTTCTCTCTTAAGTGGGAGCCAGACAAAATAAGGGAAAAAGGGGAGGGGATTGGATATCATAAAGGGATTTTCAGTGGAGTAGCAGAAGGATATCTACAGGGAGGGAAGAGGGACGGGAAAGGGGAGGAAATGGGAAATGAAATTAACAAAATTATGTTATATACATAAATAAATATACCACAATGAATTCAACCTTTATGTATATATAGAAAGGATCAATCACAAATAAATAAATGAGCCAGGCATGGTGGTGCACACCCATAATACCAGTGACTAGGGAGGCTAAACCAGAAGGATTCCAAGTTCAAGGCCAGCCTCAGCAATTCAGTGAGGCAGTAAACAATTTAGTGAAATCTTGTCTCACAATTAAAAAAAAAAAAAAAAAAGGACTGGGAATGTAGCCAAGTGGTTAAACACCCCTGGGTTCACTTGCTATTACCAATAAATAAACAAACACAAGCAAATGAGTGAAAAGAAAATGAGTAGAGGAAGGGGAACAAGGGAAAGAAAGGGGCAGGGGAAAGGGTGGGGAATCAGGACCAAAATGGAGTAAATTAAACTCCATTCATGTATGATTTTGTCAAAATGAACCCAACCACTGTGAACAACTAATGCTTCAATTAAAAAAAATAATTACTAGATCATACAATAACTCTATGTTTAACGTTTAGTGGTGGTATCATCTTATATTCCTGCATTCAACATATGAGGGTTGCAATTTCTCTACATCCCATGCTAACATTTGTTATTACAGCCATCCTAGGGCATGAAAGTTGTTATCTCATTGTGGTTTTGATTTACATTTTCCTAATGATTAAAGATATTGAGCATCTTTTTACATGCTTACTGGACAATTATGTATCTTCTTTGACAAAATGTCTATTCAGGTCCTTTGCCCATCTTTTAATTGGGTTACCTCTGGACTACTGGTTGTAAGAGTTCCTTATATATTTGGATATAAGTCTTATCAGATACATGATTTACAAATATTTTCTTCCATTCTGTGAGTTGTCTTTTCATATCTTGAAGCATTTGTAGTTTTAAATTTTGGTGATGAAATGTAATATATTTTCTTTTGCTCCTTGTTATTATGGTGTTGTATCTAAGGTTTTTGCCTCTTAGGGCATGAATATTTACTCTTGTTTTTTCAAAAATGTTTTATAGTTTTAGCTCTTAAATTTGTCTTTGATCTACCTAATTTTTATAATGTATAATTTCATGATTTAAATTTAAAAAGAGCAGCAACATAAATTCTTATACTCTTTAAGAGTTCTTATACTCTTTACCCTAATTTACCTTTTGTTTATGCTGTCCCACTTGCTTTACACTATCTACTCTCTCTATATCTTTCCCTAGGTCATTTGAAATTAGGTGGCAAACATTATGCTTATTTATTTATAAGTATTTCCCAAGAAAAAGGATATTCTCTTATGTAACCACAGTACAATTATAAAACTCAGAAAATTAAACACTATTATCATATCTATTATAATTTTGCCGTCTGTTCCAATAATATTCTTTTTCTCTCTTTGTCTTTCAGGTCTCTGAGACAGTGTTTCAATATGTTGCCTAGATTTGGCTTTGAACTCATTAATTCTTGTGGCCTCAGCCTTCTGAGAGCTGGAATTATAGGCATGTTCCGCTGTGCCTGGCTCAATAATATTGTTTAAAAGCTATTGTTTTCCGAGTTCAAGATCCACTTTGCAGTTACAAATTGCACTTAGTTGTTCTGTCTCTAGCCTCCTTATATCTGGAACAGCTCCTCAGTCTTTCCTTGTCTTTCATGACCTTGAACATTGTTGAAGGCTACAAACCAATTATATTTTGTAGAGTATTGCTCACTTTGCGTTTGTCTGATGTTTTCCAATGATCAGATTCAGGCAGATGTATTTTGGTAGGAATCAAATGATGGTGTGTTCATTTCTGGGAACCTTATCAGGAGGTACATTATGCTGGTTTATCTAACTACTGGTGATGTATAACTGATTACCTAGATAAAAATGTGTTATGTAGGTTAATCCCTTCCAAGGTTATTAGTTTTCAGACTATGTATATATCTAGTACCCATCAATTTGTTTACCATTTGTTTTAGCATCTATAAATATTGAGCTGAATCATTTATTTCTATAATGACTGCCAAACAGTGACACTCTAAATCTATCATTCCTTCTATGTTAAATGGCATTATACTGTAAGGAAGAGCATTCCCCCTTTATCCTATCATTTATTCACCTATTCATTCAGTTGATTATTATAGTGTGGACTCATGAACTCTAATTTTATTTGATGAATTCTTTTACTATGATTTTTAAATTTTAAGCCCAATCTGTTTCAGCCTGTTTAGGCTTGCTTCTATGTTCTTTCTGTGTGTCTGTCATTGTTTAAGCACTTCCTCATTTTCTTGGATAAGATGTGTTGAGTTTGTTTTGTGTCTTCCAGTCCCATGTATTATTAAATAAGCCGATTATTCAAGGAATTCTTTTCAGTGGGGAATAGTCTTTAGAAATCCAGATCTGAGCCCTAGGTATGCTCATTGTAATGGAATATTTTTGCTTTCAGGTCTTTCTAGCAGTCAGAGCTAAGATATAAATAACATACTCACACTTACATCTATTTCTTTTTATTTACACAGAGTGAATAAATTACATAAAGATACCAATAATTAAAATTCAACACTACAGAGTTCATTCTAACTTCCCCCATTTCATGGCTTAATGACCTCCCTTAATATACTGTTAAAAACCTGGCTCCCATATATCAATATATTTACTTAACTTCTCAATCATCCAATTCACAGAAAATTACTTCAGACCTGCTGATACCATAGCAAAAACCAAGCCTAACTAGAATTTAATATTTGTACAGAGTACAATTTAAAATTATATACTACAGGTATATACTAAACTACTGTGTTTAAAAGTTACTTGAGTTATTAGGGTTTTTTCCCCTCCCTCTTCAGTGTAGTTATTATTCATCTGAAACACTTAAGTTCATTTTCTAATTATATTCCATTTTCTATTTCCCCTCTTATCATTGTTTTTATTTTGAAAATGTAAAACAACAATATGTTTTCAGAAGTAAAAAGTATAACTGAAAAGTCTACCCAATAAAGTGTCATTTCTGCACTCTTAGGCCCTTCCACACTATTTCTATCCATCCCTTATAGGTAAGCAATACCTTAGTTTCCAGTTTATCTTCCTGGCCCTTCTTTTTGCAAAAATATAAACCCTAGAAGTAGAATTGCTTTGACAAGCATAAATGCCTATGTTGTTTTATTAAATATTGTCACATTTTCCTTCCTAAGGGCTGTACTATTGTGTATTCCCATCAGGGATGTATGAGAGTGTCTGTTTTCTTACATTTTTGCTAACATATTTTAACACCCTTCATTAGACAATATGACAAAAATTAAGCAGCTTGATAATACAATCTGCTAGGTGAGAACATAGTATCTCAGAGTAGCTTTAATCTGTATTCCTCTTATTTTGAAAGAAATAGAATACATTACCAACATTTAGTGGCTGACCTTGCATTACCCTAGGGCTCCAAAAAACAAAATCTCTTTAGGCACTTTACGTTACACCACTTAGAGAGTAAGATTAAATTAGCAACATAAAGGGTCTTTTCTCCATATCATATCTCTTATTACTTATTTCTTATTACTTCTTTTCTCTTTACCATGGTATTTTCCTTGACAATCTTTCCCAACTGTTTTCTTTAAGGGAAAATGAATGTGTGGAGGAAGCAGTGAGGCCAGCTAGAAAGATATCTTATTTTTGTAGATGGCTTCAATGTCTCATACAAAACACAGAGAAGGGAATGAGAAAGTAGGGAGGAAGGTACTAGGAATATGTAGAACAAAACTATAGCTCTGGAAAATGACTGAGTCTACGATCCACAAAAAGGAGACCCACAAAAAGGTAACTCCACCTGGAGTCAGGTTAAAATTATGTAACTTGATCTAAAGCAAAGATTGAGCACGACAGGTACAAAAGGCAACAGCATTAAAAAGAGCATCACTCTATACTTACACCAGTTGAAATAGCTCCAGGTCGCCTATGGGTTTTCGTTTGACCATGAGTGGCAGGCTGGCCTTTAAATCCCCATCTTTTCATGACACCTTGAAAACCTTTACCAATACTGAACAAAACAAACGTTAGAATTTACATAAGAATAGAGTGTAAAAATTCCCAATTGTATACTTTCTTTGTAGTACCTTAAAGTTTGAACAAAGCTTCTTATCTAAATAACTAGAAAAGGCTATTCAAGCAAAATTGCAAATGAACATTCTCTGTCAAAGAGTTTTACCTCCTCCTGGAGTCTAATTCTATTCAAAATGATTAATTCAAGATTATGAGATAGCAAAATAAGCACATCAACTTTTATCTGAACAAAGTTTTTTACTACCATAATCTTGTGAAGATGATACAGTAAAAGTGATAAAGTTCTAGAAGTTTCAAAGTACTATATTACACACATGGTAAGCAGCCATTAAGATGAACCCTAAAGATTGCCCATCTCCTGGTACTCATGCCCTCACTTAATTCTCTTCCCATGAGTCTGGGTGGGTCTAGGGACTCATTTCTAATGAACAAAATATGGCTACAGCAATGAGAAGTCACTTTTGAGATTTGGTTACAAACAGACTATTGCTTTCATCTTGGTATTCTCTTGCTTGCTAAGATGAAGGAACCCAACTGCTATCATATGAGACATGGGACTAGCATATAACTGAGGACCAGTCAATAACTGAGGTCCCAAGACTTGCCAACTACCATGTTAGTAAACTTAGAGGCAGATTCTCCCTGAGTCAAACCCTGAGATGACGGCTGCCCTGGCTAACTCCTTGATTGCAGCTTTGTGAAAGACCATGAACCAGACACCAAGGTAAGCTGTACCAGGCTTTCTGATCACAGAAACTATGAGGTAATGTTTATTATTTTAAGCTATTATGTTTTATAAAGGTTACATATTAGATAGCAATATATAATTATTATAATAAAGCACTAAATAAAACAATCAAAATGCTCTAAATGCTAAGGTTCTTGCTCTCAAGGTTAAACGAGAAACCAATGGAGAAATTCAGAGAACAAAATTTTTAAAAAAATTTTTTTATAGTTGTAGATGGACATCTGGCTTTTATTTATTTAGGATCGAACCCAGTGCCACACATGTGCTAAGCAAGCACTCTGCCACTGAGCTATAGCCCCAGCACCCAAAATTTCTTTTTAAAATAAAAACTTATTTTTAAATGAAATTATTTTATTTTCAAATTCTGTTGGCTAGAGAAATAGTATAAGATGCAGGTAGAGAGCAGGCAATACTTAGATTCAAGAATTATTAAAGTGTGTCTTTGAATGTCAAATGCATCAATACAAATGATACAATGCAAAAGCCAGGAGGAATTATAAGATTGTACTAGAAATGTTTTTACATACTCCTAAGATGAAGGTTTTTCCCCACCTTTCATTAGATTAATATGTCAATATATTTTTAATGCAGCATTCTTTAATCTCAACGAAGTTAGCTATGATTACAGGCCTATTACAAAAAGGACCAAAAGAAAAAGATTATGAAAACCAATCCATGCTATACATTTGTTAACACAGACTTATCAGAGAGGATGGACTGAAGAAAGCCTATATGAATAAAATAGTCTGCTTTAGATATATCAAGAATTCAACATAAAAACAATTATAAATTATGCGTAGAACCCAACAGATAGACATTATCAAATAACACATCAAAAGTTGGTTGTTTATGAATGTAGCTTACACCACTTTCTTTACATCAATCAACTGAACATACTTTGAAGCTATACACATACTCTTTTTTTACCTCAAAAAAATCAAAATAATGTTTATTCCTCATTTAAAGACCTAAAAATAGATATTCACTAAAAAACTATATAATTTTATAGAGATTAACATGTAAGAAGATAATTTCTGGTAATTAAATACTTTACTGAAATAATGCTTCAGAAATTTAACAAATATTTCTGTTTAATAATGAATTTTAGAACACACATGAAAAATAAAGTACTTGCAATTAAAAACAAAAAACAACAACAAAAACTAAGAGTCAATGGACTCATGCTACCATTTGGCAAATAACACTTAAAAGAAAAAACTGGAGAGAGAGGGACCAGTAATACCACTCTAAAATGAATATTTTTTAAAAATTTCACATTTGAGCCTTGGTCATTTTTGCTAGAAAGTTTTCTAGTTCTGAGTTCTCAAACTGGTTATCTCTTAAAAAGATAATGTGAATGAAATAAAATATATGCCAGGTAAATTACAGAAGAAACTGAGCTCATTTTAAGAGTAAATGATTACAAAATAAAAGTGGTATCCTTAAAGTACTAATTATCTGTCTGCTAATTACAGATTGTTTTTCAATCTAGTTCTAGAATACATCATGTAGTTATACTGTGTATAATGGGAATCTCTTCAGTAGATAACCTTTAAACAAAAGGATAAAACACAAATGACATGACAAATTACTGGTTTAATTCAGTTTAGGGAGAATAGAGTGCACCTGTTGCTCCATGGGTGGTACAGGTATCCATATTTTTACTTCTCTCAATTATCATCCAACAACAAAAATAAAATAGAAGCAAGAAATGAACTAAGCTATACTTAGTACTCCCAGGCACATTTCAAGTATAACATTTTCAGTTCATATAGAATAAACTCTTTTTTTATTATTAGTTGTTCAAAACATTACATAGCTCTTGACATATCATATTTCATACATTTGATTCAAGTGGGTTATGAACTCCCATTTTCCCCCCATATACAGATTGCAGAATCACATCAGTTACACATCCACGTTTTTACATACTGCCATACTAGTGTCTGTTGTATTCTGCTGCCTTTCCTATCCTCTACTATCCCCCCTCCCCTCCCTTCCCTCCCTTCCCTCCCATCTTCTCTCTCTACCCCATCTACTGTACTTCATTTCTCTCCCTTGTTTTTTTTCCCCACTATCCCCTCACTTCCTCTTCAAAAAATTAAACAATAAGAAAACAAATAACCCAATCAACAAATGGGCCAAGGACTTGAACAGACACTTCTCAGAGGAGGACATACAAACAATCAACAAGTACTTGAAAAAATGCTCACCATCTCTAGCAGTCAGAGAAATGCAAATCAAAACCACCCTAAGATACAATCTCACTCCAGTAAGATCGGCAGCCATTATGAAGTCAAACAACAACAAGTGCTGGCGAGGATGTGGGGAAAAGGGTACACTTGTACATTGCTGGTGGGACTGCAAATTGGTGAGGCCAATTTGGAAAGCAGTATGGAGATTCCTGGGAAAGCTGGGAATGGAACCACCATTTGACCCAGCTATCCCCCTTCTCAGACTATTCCCTAAAGACCTTAAAAGAGTGTACTATAGGGATACTGCTACATCAATGTTCATAGCAGCACAATTCACAATAGCTAGACTGTGGAATCAACCCAGATGCCCTTCAATAGATGAATGGATTAAAAAATGTGGCATTTATACACAATGGAGTATTATGCAGCACTAAAAAATGATAAAATCATGGCATTTGCAGGGAAATGGATGGCACTAGAGCAGATTATGCTAAGTGAAGCTAGCCAATCCCTAAAAAACAAATGCCAAATGTTATCTTTGATATAAGGAGAGCAACTAAGAACAGAGCAGGGAGTAAGAGCATGAGAAGAAGATTAACATTAAACAGGGACGAGAGGTGGGAGGGAAAGGGAGAGAGAAGGGAAATTGCATGGAAATGGAAGGAGATCCTCATTGTTATACAAAACTATATATAAGAGGAAATTATATAGATCAAACTCTTCATTTTAATGAAAATTACACATAACACATACTTTATCTTCCTTACTCTTTACCAATTACTCTTTACCAATTTAAATTAATGGTTGCAGAAATAAACTAAATGAATAAAAAACTCAGATTTAAATGAACACAATGTTAGAAATCCCAACTTTGGTGAGACTTAACTGAAGATGGGCAAAATATTTAAAGTGTATTTTAAAATCAATTATACTTGTTAAACTAAAAATTAATTTAAAAAAATCAGAAGTATTTAATTTAGGAGATTTTATTGCCCTTGCTTCTCAGCTCATTTCTCCTTACTACACTTTAAATACATAGAGGGCAAAGACTGGGCATTATTTATTCCTATTTCCAGCCTAGAGAAGTTAACATAAAATTTGTCACTGGTTAGTTCTCTCATGGAAAGAAAGAAGATTAGTTTCCTTTCTTTTGTTCTATAGTCTCCAAATGTTGTATAAAGGGCATGTCTTTTGGTTTAAAAACATGGAATGAAGTAAAAGGCAGAAATGCCTTAAGTGTATGACTGTAAGAATCTTCCAGAAGGGAATGCATAATTTAATGTTTCCCAATGCAGACTATAAATCTCTAGAAATCATACTAAGAAAATTTCATTCCCTTGCCATATTGTGACAAATGCCCACATGCCAACAGCAAACACACAGGTTTTAACACAAACCCAACATGTTGCTTTATTTTGTGGGACAATACCTTTCATTGCATCATGATTTGAGGCCAGCCTGGGCAACTCAGTGAGACCCTATCTCAATAAAAAAAAAAAGTGTTGGGAAGTTTTGCTCAGGGAAGAGCAAGCCTGGGTTCAATCCCCAGTACTGGAAAGAAAAAAAAAAAAAAAAGTACAGAGAGGTTGTTCAGTGGTAATGTCCTAGGCTCCATCCCAATTATAATACAGCATGAAAAACAACAATAACAACAACAAAAAACAAGTAAACTCAACTATGATCCAATTGAGCCCAACTTACCTTTTAACACTGCTTACCACAAATCCTAGTCATAGTAGACTATTCCATGAATCTCTAAATATGCCATTCTTTCATGCCTTTGTTTATTCAATTACCTCTGTCTGGCCTCACATACACTTCCTACTATGTTGTCTATTATTGCTATGTAAAAACCACAGAAAGTTTAACATCACTTGCAAAAATACTTGCTCTTCATTTAAAAAAATAAAAATCCATAATGCAAGTATATTATTTTTCAATCAGAACCATTTCCAAATGGTTGATTCGTGCTCTAAGAAGTTTAAATGACTTGTACATAATCTCTGAGTATTAAATGGAGAGGATTCCTACCCT